TTATATCCTTCAGGAGGAAGGCTCTTCTCATCGGAGCAGCTCCTGCTTGGAAATCATGCAGCCAACCAGCTGCACAGTCACCCCTGACACAAACAAACGTACCCAGCAGTGCCAGAGCTCGGGCTGGCAACCTCTCAGTACACTGCCTCCCCAGCCCAGCACTTACATGCGCAGAGTCACAGAAGACGTGAGGCTGGAAGCAGCCTCTGCGGATCGTCCAGCCCAATCCCTTGGCTAAAGGCAGAGTCAACAAGACGTTGCCCGCTTGGCCTTGACTGTCTCCCCAGATGCACACTCTGTAACCCCTCTGGGAAACCTGTCCAGCGTTCAACCGCCCTCACCTTAAAGAGGTTTCTCTCTCTCTTTAAACACAATCTCCCTTGTTTCCGTTTTCACCCATTGCCTCTTGCCTTGTTGCTGCGCAGCAGGCTGCCAAGAGGCTGCCTCCATCTTCTTCTTCGCTCCTCCCCCACTCCCCTTACCAAAAGTTTTACACACGCTGATGAGCGCCCCACGGAGCCTTCCCTTCTCCAGCATGCACAGTCCCTCCTCTCCCAGCCTCTTCCCTTACGACAGATGCTTCAATCCCTTCCTCAGCTTCACAGCCCCTCACCAGACTCCCTCCAGGATGGCCACGTCCTTCTTGTACTGGCGAGCCCAGCATGGGACAAAGCGCCCCACATGTGGTCTCACCAGAGCCGAGCAGCGGGCGATCATTACCTCCCTTCACCTCTTGCCTCTGCTCTCCCTAATGCCAGGGGGCTGCTGGCATGCGTCACTGCAAGGCCGCACTGCTGCCTCACGGCCAACTTGCTGCACACCAGGAATCCCAGCGCTCTTTCTGCCACGCTGCTCTCCCACTGGTTGGCCCACAGCCTCTACTGATGCATGGCCTTATTCCTCCTCACGGGCAGGACCAGGCATTTCCCTCCGATAAACTCTCCCAGAGGCACCGCCCGGCTCCCTCAGCGCTCCTCGGTGCATCCCATCAGGGATCACACACTTGCGTATCTCCAGTTTGTTTAGTGCTCCCTAACCCGACCCTCTTCCACCTAGGAGAGGCAACTCTAGCTTACCCTGCATCTTCCCACTGGTTTCAGGAACCTGGGACTGCTGAAGACTAGCCTTACCAAGAAAGACTGAGGCAAGGAAGGCATTCAGTACCTCAGCCGTCTCGTCTCCATGTCCGTTAGGCTGCCATTCCCGGTCATCAGTGGGCCCACTTTTTCCTCTACTCTTCCTTTGCCTGCTGATACACCCGCAGCAGCTTTTCTTGCTGCGCTTCACATCCCGTACCACGTTCAACTTCAGGAGGATGCTGGCTTTCCTAACCCCATCTCTGCAGGTTCAGACAGTGTCGCTACATTTCCCCCGGTCACTTGTCCCTGCCTCCACCTGCACGGGCACCTAGGTCACAACATTGCCATCAACCCACTCCAGAAACCTCCTGCGTTGCTTGTGCCCTCCTGTCTTGTCCTGCCAGCAGATACACAGGGAGGTCGGGTTCCCTGTGACAACCAGGGCCTGCCAACCGGAGGCTTCCCGCACTTGTCCGAGGCAGGCCTCACCAACTACTACTCCCTCAGTAGGCAGTCTCGAGCAAAACAGCAACGAAAACATCACTCCTGTTGCTTATAATCCTCACCCATGACCTCTCCACTGGCTCATCGTCCATCTCCAGGAAGAGCTCCACACAGCCCCGCTGCTCTCGCACAGAAAGGGCGACTCCTCCCTCCGCCTTGCCTGCCTGGCCTCTCCGTCCCAACGAGCCTGCAGCCAGCCACAGCACCACTCCACTTGCACGGCCCATGCCAACACACATCCATGATCCCAATGACGTCCTAACTCAGCAGCCGCACGCGCACCTCCAATTCCTCGTTTGCTCCCAAGCTGCGTGCACTGGCCTACAGGCATTGCCGAGGTGCCCAGCCGGGCTGATTTCCCACAAGGCCCAGGACACTTTTCCCACACACCTCTCTAGTCGCCACGTCCCTGTTTATCACCACGCACCTGCACGGCATCCTCTGCCACTCTCCTCACTTCAGGACACACTCCCTACTCTTTCCACATACCTCGCTTGCCAGCCTGCTCCTCCACTACCTCACCGGACGCGTCCTCATCCTCTCCCACTCCAGTCAGTCCTACGCTCCAGAGCCACGCAACACGCATGCAGCCTCACCTGCACGCTACCCACTGCAGGCGAAGATGAGCAACGCTCTCTAGGGAAAGGGAGGAGGAGACCTTTCCCTTTACACCCTCAAAGCCCCAACTTTGCCAACCAATGGCAACTTGCCAGAGCCACCATCCTCCAACACTGAACTGCACCTGCACAAATGCTTCCCAGAGCAAGCTGCGTTCACGTCATCAGTGGAGCTGCAGCCCACACAGGCTTGCAGTAAGCAAAACAAAGCCCCCACCCACAAGCTTGCTTACCTGCTGCAAAAAGCAAAGGCTCCCAAGGGACAACAAGCAATGCAGCACGTGAACCCTCTGCTTCAAAGCAAGCCCCAAGCACGCGTCACCACCCTGCTAGGCACAACCATCCACCACACTCCCCTTGCAGGAAAGAAAAAGATGCTAAAGCCCACCCTGAAGACACAGCCCACACACACTCGCGAGGCTTCACCTTCTGACACTTCCCAGCACAAACCCTGCAAGATCCCCACAGACGGACAAACGCTGACACGGGGCTCACAGCTCCTCTCTCACACAAACTTCGCTTCCCAACCAGGGCTCCTCTTGCCCGGGCAACGCCTTGCAACACCCCGCTCTTTCCAAGCGCCACTCTCCGCTCTGCGGGCCGGAAAGCAACGGGCGCGCGCGCGCTACGCCCCCTCTCCCTCCATTACGGCCTCTCACACGCTACACGGCACAGGCAGAGCGAAGGTGACAAACCTTGCACCCTTCACAAACAAAAAGCTTCCCTCCTGAAGCCGCTTTCCTCCGGCCCCAACCTCCTGCGCTTGCCGGCACGGTCACCGCTTCTTACCTCTCCCACTTTATTCTCTTCGATTCGGACCACTCCCGGGATGCTCTCCAAGTAGCTCTCCAGCGTGCCATGTCCGAGGTGTCGGAAAGGAATCCAGTCGCCGGTCAGAGACTTGTATTCGCCCTGAAGCTGGGCCAAGGCTATGCCGTTTTTATGGGAATGGAGAACGGCTCGCAGCATTTTGGCAACAAGGTCGGCCTCCAGCATCTTCACCTACACCCCCGGCACCCCAAGAGAAGACAAGGAAGCATTGTTACACACGCAGCCAAACAGCGCCTCCCTCGACACTCCGCCTCCCTCCCCAAACAAGCAAGCACTCCACCATGCTCCGACACTCTCCTGCTTCGGGGGTCCCCCCGCCCGGGCACACCAAAAAAAAACCGAGCGCCATCACCTCCCCCACCGTAACACCCCCTCCCCTCGCCTGCTCCCACCCCGCAGCAAACACACCCTCCCTCAACGCAGCCCAGCCCGCAAGGGAACCTCTCCCGCAGCACCGCCTGCCGACAGCTCCACCACCGCAACGCCAGCCGCCAACTTCACACCGCGCCTCTCCCCACAGCGCCTGGCCTCCACGCAGGCCTCTTCACAGAGGAAGCCCAACACCTGCGAACCCGCCTGCTTACTGCGCCCTGCTGTCTTCACCCAGCACCAGAACCAACCAAGCACGGCCCACCCAAATCACCCTCACTGCTACGCTATTACCCTGGCCACAGAGGCAAACACCGCAGCAAAGCCCTTCAAAGCTTCGCCCAGGCCCCTCCTTCGGTGGACAGCAACTCTCACACTGCAGTCGCACGTGCCAAAGCTCTGCCTTACCTAGTACCAAGTCCCCAGGGACTTTCTCCCTGCAAGGCCGGGCAGCTTACGCATCTCTTTAGACACAGCTCGCACAGCTAACTACACGTCTCCTACCCCTGGCAACTCACAGCCTTCCGCACGCTGCGGCCTTGCTGAAGCTCTTTGGTTAAGCCAGCTCCTCGTCTAAAACGCCAAGGACGTTCACAGCTAAGTGCTACGGGACAAGCTGCACACTCCAGAGCGGTCGCTCTGCTGGCACGCTGAAAACAGGCAGCACCTCAGCTCCTCCAGAAGCAGCTCTCCACAGGCTTTGGGGCCAGAACCTACACTGAGGCCTCACACAACCAACCATAACTCTTACTCCTGAGCCGCATGCTGCGCAGCGGGACCAGCAAGAGCGCTCAACAAGCAAACGCCCTCTCAAACACCTCCCGGTGGCTCCCCAGACAATTTACTTGCTCCATTAGCCTGAGCACCGTAGGAGAAGGAGACCTCCCGCGCCGCAAACCCATCTAACTCGGGGTTCAGGGAGGCCAGGAGAGCCCCTCGCCTCCAAGCATGCCAAGGCGAGCAACTGCAGCTTGCAAACCTGCACCGATCCAAAGATCTCCCTGGAAGAACAGGCTCAACACTGACTCCGCATTGACCAACCTCTCCCACTCCTCACCACCAGTGCCTATCTGCCCGCACGCGAACGGTACATGAAGGTCCAAGCCGCCCTCTTCCTTGCACCTCGGCTTCCAACCAAGAAGAACACCCACCAAAGACGCTGCTCCCCACGCTGCTCCCAAACGCCAAAAGCAGCTCGCAGAGCACCAGCGCGCACCACCAGCACCCACCAACACACCCTCTCAGCCTAGCGCACCAGCAGCCAGCCCCACACAAACCCTCCGCCGGGCCGCTCCGCACCCAGAGGAGCTCAGGCACCTCTCAAGGGCTGCCCAACACCAACCGCACCCGGACATCGGCTTCAGGGCTAAGACGGGGCACCACCAGCTCAGCCCCCCGCAAAAGCAGCCACCTGCTGCTCCCACAGCCTCCACAACACTGGCCCCGGGCAAAAGGCAGCTGACCTCATCCCACTGCACCCCACTTACAGTCCATACTCTGCCGCTCTGTCACCCAAAACACAAACCTCGGGCGCTCCTAACAACGGCCTCTGCATCGGGGCCAACACAGGCAACCCCTGAACAGCCCCACGTCTGCACACTGCTACTTGCGCCTCTCAAGACAATGCAAAACTAAACCACAGGCAACCGGCTCAAGCAAGACCAGCACCGTGGCGGAGTGGGCAGGACTAAGTCAGTCCTTCTCTCGCAACACCAAGGAGAGGCTTGCACCTGACACCAAGCCACCTCTCCTCCCCGGCCTGCCAGCAACAGTACTGCCCCAACCCAGATCCAACCCAGACGCTGCAGCTCACACGCAGCACGCACAGCCTTTGGGCAACAGCCAGCAAGCCACAACGCACTGCGCTCCCTCGGGGCCACGCATGGGCCACTTCTCCTGGGATGCACGGACTACGCGGAGCGCTCAAACTGACCCCACGAGTTCGGCTGCTCTCAAAAACAATCCCGCCACTGCTTGACGCAACTGCACACAAAGACAAAGCAACCGAGCAAGTCATCCCATGCTAACAAAGCTGCCTGCAAGACAGGACTTCACAAACGGACTGCCAGCCCTCGGGGCCACACCGCTGTAATGGAAGACACCAGCACCAAAGCCACCACATGCTCCTCTACCGCTTAAACACGGCAAGCTGCAAGCCTGGACTAATGCCTGCACTTCCACTGCCCTTCTCCTCCTCAACCGCACCCAGATTTCACACTAAGCCTGCTCCTCTGCTTCGGCTCCCCACACCAATGCCCGCACTGCCATCACTCCAGCCTTCACGCAGCCCTCAGCAAGACCACGCATGGAAGCGCACCGTCCACCTCCACCACACTCCTTCCACACCACTTCCGCCCTCCTTCTCTCCAGCACGGCCATTTCCGTTGCTCCCCTTCACCCCGCTCCTACCTCCCGCAGAACTTGCGCAAGTCCCACATCTCCACACGTTTCCCGGGCCATGCCACCAACTTCAGCCTGCACACGCACACTGCGACTGCCTCGGCCTTCTCCCACCCCACCTAGGCGACAGCCCAACTCACCTACTGGGCAAGAGGGCTGGAGAGCAGCTCCTCAAACACTTCTACTTCGCCGACACGCACCACTTCAGGCACCCGGGCATGCCTGCAGACAGATGTGCACAATGCCGGTTATATACGCGGGGACAAATACACTGGCCTACACACGTACCTACGTACAGCACTGCCTCTATGCAGACGCTTTGACGTCCACAGTCCTACAACCTGCTGTCCGCCAGCTCTCTGGCGCAAAAGGTCAGCGAAACTTCAGCCTAACTGCTTCTGCAGCCAAGCTCAACCTCGCTGACCAGCCACCGCATTTCTTCACTGAAACCCATCGTCCAAAGTCTCACCCCCAGTCCGCGAACACCCGCGGCAGTACATAACAGAAAGCACATGAACAGAAGCGGAGTCATCTCCTCTAAGCCAGCACTTCCTGCTCTTACCCAGCAAGTGAGTTTCATTTACTGATCCTGCAACAACCTCTACCCCGCCTACTTTTACAAGGCTTCCAGTTGTAACTCCAGGTCACAGACTTCCAGAAAGAGGAGAACACATTCAGCCCATGCACCGGCACACCCCCATCTGGAGGGCAACACATAGCAATCACTTTGGGCCCGACCACACTGATGATTGCTATATATTAGTGACATATTACCGAGTGATTACCCTTTCTCCTTGCATTGCTTCAGAGACTTAGTCCCTGGTGAGCAGAGCTTCACAGGACACCCTCCAAAGAGGGAGAGGAGGTAGTGCTCACTTGGCAGAGGGAAAATACACAGGAAGCTCATATCTCTTTTGGACCCTCCCAGTGATGTGAGGAAGCTATGTGTTAGAAATGTCTCAACTTGATATTAAAGCTACTGTTTGAAAAAAATTCATAGATATGCTAAATACGTAGCTTTGTCTGCAAGTATGTTCCAAGACTAATATGTTCCAGAGAAATGGCTGGAAAAAAAGCTGGAATTATTGTTGTGCTCTTTTTCTGTACTATCTCATTTAAATAATAAACCGAAACTCGTAACTAAGAATTCTTATTTAAGAATTTGGTGCCATTATTAAGACTCTTCTGAAGAGTCTTGCAAGTCCTCCTTGCTGAAATAGCTGAGTTGAACTTACGATGAT